CCGCTGCGATATTATTGACTCCATGGGGGCTGTCACCAAGGACCCCAAAGCTGCCTCTTCTCTTTGATGCCAACATCACTGGGATGGTCTCAAGCTCTTTTGTAGGAAGCAATCTCATGCAAGGAAGGTATCGCTGTCTCACTGAGCCCTGCAGTGTCCCCCGCAGGCTGCTGTGTCTGTACTGCCGGCACAGCCCGCGGCTCAGCAGCACAGCCCCGCACTAATTAAGCGGTGCGGCACAGCAGGGTGTGAGTGCGTTGGCCATCACAGCCTCCTCTGGACACACTGCAGAGAAAAGGCTGAAGCTTCACAATGTTAGCCTTCCAAGAACCACTTTAATTGCCCAGTAATGCACACCCTGGGGTCTTGTAATGTGCTGCTAATATGGAGCATTTAAAATATGAATACTCCAAAACAAATACAAGGAGTTTGGTGCTCTGCTGAGTGTATCTTTCCACTATGAAAAATAATCTACAACGAAGGAATATGGTGAAAGTGAGGATACCAGTGCTTTCTGAAATCTACCAGGGTCTTCTTGAGGCAGCAGGACACACCACATCACTCTTCCCTTTGGTGCAACATCACTGTTCTTCCAGAATTTAAAGAATAGCTAGGCTAGGACTCCAGATGATCCAGGCCTACCTCACCTCCCTCTGATCAGCCCTAGTATAACTTTTTTATTCGAGATAATGTCTGAAGACTCTGAGAGCTGTAGTAAGAGAGGAGAAACCTTAAAGTATATTAGGTTGGAAGAGAGTTTGGACAGAAATGTCAGAGAAGCAAGGGAAGTTTACTATGATCTCTTGTTCTTTCATCCAATAATTTCTGGACAGGTGTAGAAAGTGATTTTTTTTTACTTGTTTATTTACAAAGACTGAAAGTTTTGCTTCTCAGAAAAGACTCTGGCGTAGCTAATTTTGACTTCTAATATTTCTTTCTATGTTCTTGATGAGAGCTTGTTACAACTGTCATACTAGGAGAGAAGATTTTTGTCTGTCTGTATTCAGAATCAGAAAAAGGAATTGCATTAAAACTGACAAAAATAATGAAACAGAAATCAAACATTGGAAATTCACGATCTAATGCTGAACATTTAGGAAAGTAAAAGGCATTTGGAAACAGGCAGTTGGTTTCAGCTGGTGCTGTATGTAGTATTAACTCTAGCAAGAGTTACTACAAGCCAACTATGGTAACTCATGAATTCCAGGAATGGATGTATAATTCACAGTATGATACTATGTATTGTAATGACATTATATGCCATTACTTAAGATAATATTGCATATTAAATTCAGATTGTGAAATGAAGTTCAGTTGCTTTACTGCAATCAAAGATCTATAAATGTCCTGTTGCTGAAACTTCAGAAGGTTATGTATTAAATCTGCTTATATTCTGAAACTCAAAGTAGGCAACTTGGGCAAAAAACCTCTTACTGGAAAATGAAAAATGGGAATTTACAGTAAGTACTGGTTTATATTCCTAATTAAATAGAAATGCTGTTACTGGAGTCACTGACTGTGATGGAATTAGAGTAGGGATGAATTTAGTCCAAAGTGACAATTTCTCTTGGAGAAAAGAAAGATGTTTGAAAATATGGCATTTATCTCAAGAAAGCAGCACTGCTAACTGGTGTGCCAGGACTTGTGTCCCTTCTACTTTTCGAAAGGGCCAAGAAAGTGGTCTGCAAAAATACTTGTCTTTCTCCAGTGTCTAAAGGCAAGAACAAGCCATCAAAGACAGCGAGAGGTGATTGAGGTTTTGCGACCCCTTATACAGCAATAATCCAGAAATCCTAGATTTGAGGCAGCAGAGCTGGTTTAGTGCATTTTTCATTCTCTGGCAAGGGTGAGAAGCTTTTAGCAATCCTGAAGTTTAAAGACACCATTATTATGCTGCATTTGTTTCTACAGGACCGGGTCAGCTCTGTTCATCTTTCATCTGCTGTTTCATTAGGTGGTCTTGTGTAGGACAGGCTCACTCGAAGCCTCTTAAGGCAGCAGCAGTGATGCCTTGCTATCACTTGTTTATCACTGTCCCTAAGTGAATCGACCCAGGGGGATGCACTGCCATGTACTGTACTGAGCATTAGGATCTTGAAATTTCTCTTTCCTTACAATGCTAGAGTTCAGTCATGACTTCAGGCCAAAGGAACACTGCCAGGGAGAGCCTCTTCATGACCTGCCTCTTCTTTTAACCATAAAAAATACCTTCTCCCTGAGACCTCATTAGGTCTGTGCATTTGATGCCAAGAATTATTTGACCCAAGCCACTGGAGGTGTCACAATCAGAACTGCTCCCCTCTGTTCACATTTCCAAGCACTTTCTTTTGACATAAAACCAGTTTCATTCTTAGGAAGGGAATTTTTGAGCAAGCCTTTCACCTCTGGGTCACTAGCTGAAATCTGGCCCTGGCTGGTAGTGACCGAAAATCATTACCAGCTGACAGCTACTTGGTGAAATGAGCTGGTGAGCCTCATTCCAGTTCCTAATGGACACTTTTCAGTAAACACAGTCACAGCTGGCACTAACTGGTGTTCTTAGCCCATGGACTGAATGTGGAAGAAAACAGAACTTTCCTCTTCATCCCCTGCCTGGGTTTTTGGTGTATTATGGACAGGCATTTTATACCTGCAGTGTTTCACAGGCTGTTTTTACTCTAAATGGCTTTTTGAAACTTTGCAATTTCCATGCAGCATGATTCAGCACAGCCTGATCTGCCATCTCAGTATAATTAGACTCATCTTTTGGTTCCCCTCAGTAGAAGCTGAGCTGTCTGATGCCATCTCCCAGTACCAATGGTGCGTCTGATGTCATATCTCAGTATGAATGGAACCGTCTGATGTCACCTCAGTGCTAACAGGACGTTTTATAATATGTCATCCAAGACTGCAGGGGAAATCTTCTAATCCATTCACTATGCTGCACTACAGTAGAACATAACATAGTATAATGTGTAGGTTAACTTAGACACCCTCAGGCAGGTTTTGGATAGACGGATGGATGGATGGATAGATACATTTATACAAAGTATACATACATTATATCACTCTATTGATTTTTAAAAAGTTCCAGGACTGCCTAGCTATAATGAGATTTTTGAACTTTGTGTTGCGATCAATGAGGGGAATATTATTGGCCTGGAGAATTGATATACCCGCTCTCTGTGGTTTGTTCTTCTCCTGGACTGCCCCTGCCCCCAAGGTGTACGATTCCATCAGACACTTAACCTCTTTTACAGTGTCATCAGGCTAAAAGGAATCTAATAGTGACACGGGACTTGTGCTCAGCACTCTGGCACTATTGCTTTCCTGTCACAAATAATTTATAGCTTTCTATTTCCATCCCTTTGCCTGCACCCCATCCCCTTTTTCTGTTTCTCTGGACTGGGGGAAATCAATAAACTCACACAACCAGAGTGGCACTTCAGGGGGTTTTTAGGGGGAATGTGAGAGAAGAGGGAAAAAAAAAAAAAGGCACCTAAAAGAAGAAAAAAAGTTATATTATTTGCCCTAGCACAGACTTTTCAGACCAGCTCCTCAGCTAGTATAAATAGCATGACCTCAGAATTTGGCCTTGAGGCCTTCAGACATCTTCTGTATAAGTCCTCAGCAGCTATAGATTAGGGCATCTGGTACCAGTTATCTATATGGGGTGAGGATCTGGATCTCCATCCCCAGTTAGAACCTTGACATTCTCTGTCTCCAGCTATGTCCCAGGCAGCCTCTCTGCTGCTCCAGCTACTGCTCAGGCTTCATCATTTTCTAACATGCTGAGGTGAGATGTTCTCTTTGTTTTCCTAAAAAGGTTTCACTCTCAGGAGTTGTGCTTTTTCAAAATTGCCCTCCCAATGTCACTGCCTATCTCTATCCATACCATACAACTCACTAGCCACACATTTGCTCTTTGAAGTTTTGCCAACTTATTCTTTAGAATGAATTTATATATGGGAAGCTGTCATGTGGGCAGGGAGAATGTGCTATTTGCTTTCACTTTCTGAAGAGATTTCAGAAAATGGGTAGAAAATAAAGCTAATATAATGCAGGACTGAGAGTTCCAGAAACTCGGGCTGAAGAGCATCTGCAGCCTTCACCCTAACCGGAGAGGCTGAAGAGAGGAGAGGTTTGTTTTAATCTCAGAAAGAAATTTGGTCTCTGTGGCCTCCACAGGTCATGGCTTATTTGCCAAGTTCCTTGGTGAAACAGTTGTTCCTGAGTCACAGACACCCAATATCTGCCAGTAGTCAGGGACCTTGCCAGTCAAGTACTAGTGATTTTCTTTCACCACTGACCTAACTTGGATTTAAACCAGTGACCTAGAGGTGAAAGATTTCATGTAACAAGAAACAGAGCACTAAATTACAGTTCAGTTTGTTTTCATTCTGAGCTATATTATGAGATTTGTAGCATCTTTTTGAGTTCCCATGCTGTATTCATTCACCACCTGATAAACACCAATTTTTGACCTGTTTGTTGTAACTTCTTCCTGGTGATCTCTATCCCTCGCTACTCACTACTACAGATGCCTTCTGTTCTTAACTTCTCATTTATGAAGGGCAAGGGCTTCGGGCAAGCCTTCCATAAGGGCATTTGGTCATTCAGAAAGGTATTTTATAGGTAGACAACAAAATTAAAGCTACATCATTTGTAAATCCAGCAATTTCTGTATTAGCTGCAAAGACTGCCTTGTGATGATGCTTGCAGATCAGACCATGAATGCTAATGCTGTTAACACACAGGAGATCCTTGCTCACTCACTGAACACCCTCCTTATGCAGTGAACACCCAAGTTTGAGATGAAGATGACAGAGCAGAACTAGGACAATCTTTCAAGAACTGTACCATTAAAGCAGTAGAATCAGGACCACAAGAAGGCAAATGGAACCACTCTGCTGCACCCAGAGCTCAGACTGAGTCTTCAGGTTCTGATAGTTGGGACTGCGGGTATGCAAAGACACAGAGAAGTTGCATTTGAGTTCTGAATGTGTTTTGCTCTTTTCCAGGATCATCAGAACCAAAGTTCAGCAGCCTTTTCACCCAACACCAGACGGGAGTGGGACAGGTGTGACTGCACCAGGACATACCATTGGTAAGGAGACTGGCATGAGGGGTGGTGACAGGTCAAGTGGAAATGGAGATGAGGCTCAGTTGAGGGAACAAAGTCTGACAAGCAGATGCTAAGCAGAGCAAAAGGGAGGAGGGAGTGGGGGGAAAGAAGCCTCCATGGAAATCAGAGGTTTCTCTTCTTCATTTTCCTTATTGCATTGCAGAGAAGGGAATCATGGAGAAACTAGCCCAAGGTAGTGGTTTGCTCAAGTGATTCTGCCCTAACATCCATTTCGCATTCATGCTCTCCTTCATCTCCCTGTCAAGAAGTATTTAATGCTGTGCTGTCTAAGCATGAGCCTTTTGTCTCCTCACTCTGACTCTCTTTCCCCCCTCTTACTCCCAATTTTTCTTCTCTCCTTTCCCTTTGCTGGAACTGGTCCCTCCCTTAGAGCTAGTAATACACAAACATGGGTAAGATATTCCTGTTGCCTCACAACTAAGTTCTTCATTGCTCTAGCTCAGCAGTCAGGTATGCCATGGGTGTATTTCACTGAGAAAATGCATTTTTTGCTGGGGGAGATGTTTTGCTGGTTTATCGAGGTGAGCAGAAGATGGAGGCTGTAATAAAGTGACCAAATGTCTCCTAGTCTATTTAAAGGTACTGTGCTAGATGTGTGATGAGGTACTTTTCAGTCTGTGGGCTGTATGGTGGATATGTCTGCTGTTGCTAGCATAGCTTTATCTAGTGACAAGTCAGAGCTGGAAAAACATGCAGTGTTCTGGGATACTGTGAAATACAGTAGCTTATTTGTGGCCTAAGACACTGTCTTAGATTCTGTTGGTTATTGAGAACCTGCTGCTACACAAGGATTTACTGGAAAGTACTGGTCTACACAGGACAGAGCTGGTAGATATAATCCTGTACACAAATGTTATTGGGGAGTACAATGGAATTAATGGGCCAATATAGAAGAGCACTTCTGGATGCCCTTATAATCTGGACTTGCTCACTGGACTTGGAATTACTGATCACAACAGTCGGAGTAGGCAGATATTATTCCTTCTTGGAAGAGTAGTGCAATGTCTAGGGAACGCAATGGCTGAGCTGGGATGGTGAGCGTGAGTGCTTCTCCTAGAGTCTCTCACTGCTCTGGGATGTACTGGGAAGTATGAGTCTACATTGGATAGTGTTGACAGGTTCTGCTCCATCCTGGAAGGCTTGTATTGGAGGTCTTGATTGCTTCAGGTCAGTGCTTTATGAGCTGAATGATGAAGTGGTCTATGAGAGAACTGGGTATTCTCTCCAGTACTGGGACACACTGGGACATATTAGGCATGCCTGCTGGATGCATAGTTCTACCAATTCTGTTTTCTGAAGGCCTGATTATCAGGATGTGATCATTTTTAATCTGAATAACTCGTCATTTCTGATATATTGGAAATTCATGAGCAGTCTTGGATAGCCCTGAATGGCCGCAGGATTCTGCCTGTTGTACTGACCTACACTGGTCAGTACAAAAGGAAGTCCTTAGATTTTCACTTATCTGGGTGGTAGTATGTATCACCAACTCACCAGTTGTTCCCTCACCAGGGAACAGAATCGATTAGCTCAACACTGAAGTGCTTCTAAGATATGCTAAAAAGGTAATTTTTCAATGAGTGTTTTAGGTGGGCATGGAAGAGGCTGGTCTGCCTAAGACAGAACACGGGCACTCTTGGTGAAAAAGTGCTGAGAGGACATGATCTGGTAAAATATGGATGTACTATGAAGTCACTAGAGAATGTGGCCTGTGCAGCATTTCACTCAGTTACACTGGCATGCAATGGGAAGCCTGCTCTGAACTGGGATGCAACAATAAGGTTTAGCTTCTTGATGAAATACACTTGCTTGTTATTAATGGCCCTGTCCTGGAAGGCTGTGGAGCTACGGTATAGAAATGGACAAGCAAAGCTGGGATGCAGCTTTGCTGAGTTGCAGCAGAGTGAGTCCTTCAGTGTGAGGGACTGGGAGTCTGCTTAGTGCCCAGGCTTCACAATGAGGCTGGTGGCGTGCATAGCTTTCAGCTGGGTATCCCTGAGTGCTGTGCTGCTCTCCTCATGGCCCTTTTTCCCTTTTCCTTTTGTCCAGTGCCCAGCACAGCATCCCCTCCCGTCTCCAGTGCCTCCAATGATCCAGTGGGCTCTTACTCCATTAACGGGATCCTGGGGATTCCTCGGTCGAATGGCGAGAAGAGGAAACGTGATGAAGGTAGGGGGAGGGGAGAAGCTCATCCTCCCTTTTATATTCTTTGTCCCCATGTACAGGCTCCAGTTTCAGGCCAAGGTTTGCAGCTGCTCCAGGGGCTAGATCAGTTTTAGCAACAGAGACCAGTTCCCCGCCACTGCCCTGCTGGCTTGGAATGCTCTTCTTCCGAGGCCCTTTCATGACAGGCTGCGTCTCCAGACATCTGCTCAGCAGGCAGAGAGCCGTCTCCATTGCTGGAGCTGATCCCAAGTTCATTCACTGCTGGAAACGGCTGGAACTGAATTCCCCAGGTGCCAGCAGGTGCCCGGACTTTGAACTGTGGGTAAACACGGTTTCCCCGACTCACTCGTTTTCAAACAAAATGCCACCTCGGAGAAGCACCAGCAATGTGGGATTTATCTTTCATTCCCCTTGCAAAAAAGTTTCTGCCCGGTGATGTGCCATGAGCTACATTAGCTGGTGATCACAAGGGCCCAGTTTTCAATGGGTAGCATCTACCACAGCAGAACTGTCATGCTTGCAACAGTCTGAAAGCAGAACAGGAGGTCTTCTGAGTACTGTGACCCTAGGGTTGTTTTCTAGGTCTTTCACTAGGGCTCTAAGGAAATAGTATTAAGCTATTCTCCTTTTGCTTCCTACATTGTTGGGAAGTACTCAGGGCAAAGTGGATCCTGAAATGAATCAAAAGCAGAAGCCTCAGGTCTAGATAGATTGAGTTAGGAGGGGTAGGTAATGTCTTGGTGCTCTTACAGTGGCTTTTAAACCCTTTTCTTTAAATCTTCCTAATTTGATTTGTTCTAAAATTGAGGGCCAGGACATGAACTTTTCTCAGAGTAGTGACTGACCAGTTTGTTGGGTTCAGCCCTGACTTCAGTATGTTGTGTTGCTTGTTGCATGGAGGGACCTCTTAGCAGTGCAGGTAGCTCAGTGTGCTGTGTGTGCTGTAACCCCAAGGCTGTGCAGTGCAAGAGAACATGAGAGTTGCCCGTGATACGCGGTGAGAAGAGAAAGCTCTCCCGAGAGAGATGCTGCATTCGGGGGTTTTGCTACTAATTTTCTCAGCATTGGTTCTGGTGAGGTTCACATCTGTAAGTTTTTGAACCAAATAAACACAATAATCCTAAGAATAAAAGGCAGTCATCATGTCCCCTTTCTCACTTATACAAAGTAAAGCTAGAGGCTAGGACCCCATACAGCGTCTATTAAAGCAAGTGGAAACATTTTTGCTGATGTCATTGGAAATTGGATCGGGCCCCAGAGGAAGATCCATTTCCCAGCTAGATGGCAGTAGGGCCCAGCTAAGAGAAAAGTGTAGCAATGGAAGGGCTGAGTCAATTTCTCAAAGTCAAAAAATGTCAGGAATAAGAGACTACAAGTATTGTAACCCCCTCCAGCATTTGCCATCATTAAATATACATGAAATAGAGACATTTCAAATGGAATGACAAGTTTCTGTAATGGTTGTACAGATCTCCTGGCAGTTATTTGGGGTTTTTGTGAATCCCTGTTCTCATACAGTCCAATGTGGTGATCACCAGGTCTCAACATGGTGCCTCCACATCTCATTTGAAATGAAGCTGTTTAATCTGGCTTTAGCAGCTATTCAGGCTATACCTGGAAAGATCATCCCACTTTAGACGCAGGCTCACAGTCAATTCCAGCCTCAGAACTTGAGCTTCTTTTGGAAAATACAGTTAAACACAGATACAACCAAGCAGCTAAGACTTCACAATGATATACTGACAGTAAGAACTACTCTTTGTGTCTGTCCTTAATTCATTCCAGATTTGATTTAGGCAAGTGACGCTCTGCAATTCCTTGCTGTTGGCCAACAGCCCATATATTCCACTAGGAATCAAAAAGATATCAGACAATCCTGGAGATGCTGTTTGTCTTTAGCTCTCAGAGTTTTAGGTGGCAATGGCATGATTGGTGGTATGGCATGATTGGAACTACTTTAGAGAACAGCCTTCATCCTGCCATCCCAGATATCACCTCTGTCCAAGAAAAACCTCACGTGACCCCCAGCCATCTTCTGAATACCCCTAACCAGCGTTATCTGGGCTCACACTGGCCTTAAGAAATGCTGAAAGACATCACCCCTTTGCAGGGTCGGGTCCTCAGATTAGAAGGGTCCAAGTGGAGGTCTTGCAACACCAGTGACCTTTCACTCATTCCTGGGCAATCTCCTCTGTAGGTCTGAAGTTTCTGATTGTTTCTAGTTGAGATGGGGATCAGATGTCAAGAAATCCAATGCAAGTATTTCTTTCATGCTCATGCTGGATGCATACACCTTCTCAGTATTTCCCAGAGCTTCTGAGCACTGTCTTATTGCAGTTTCTTAACTGCAGGGTTTATTCTCGCACTGAAAAGCCCTTGTGAGCTTTGCACATCTACTTTCCAAGCATTTAGGGGTGGCTCTTCCCTAAAGGAGGTAGAGAGAAGCACTGCTCTCTCTTTCTTTCCGCTCTGTTGGACCAGCTCTGCTGCAACGATTCCTCTGTGAGGAATGCAGCTCAGCAGAAAGGGGGAAGTACCAAGCTGTTCCCGAATCCCCGGTTCAGAAAACCTTGTTAGCAACCTCTGTGATGGCTGGGGGGAACAGGGTGGGAGAAAGACAGAGGAGCCTCTATCTGAGCACACCCCCTCCCCCAGGTCCTCCTTGCTGCAGCTGGTGCCTACATTAGACAGTAGCACAGATGATTAAGAAGAGGAGAGATAATTATGTGTCAAGATGATGTAGCAGAACTCCCGAGTTGGACAGAAGGAGCCAGACGGATGCATGAGGTGGGCTCAGAGATGGACGCTGACAGCCAGGTGTGTCCCTCGCAGGGAGTTAGAGGGAACAGTGGAAATCCCAGCCTACCAAATACGCTGGTTGCAGCTGCAAGGGTGGTCTGGGAGACCTATGACATTGAGAGAGAGTTAGCAGGGAAAGAGCTCTCAGTGTCTACTAGTCACAACAAGGAACTGTCTGGTCACAAGTCTTTCCTCAAAACTCAGTGTGTCTTCCTCAGGTGAATACCTAGGAAGGATGGTCAGAATTTGCCCTGTTAAGACCATGTCTCAGATTTTGACTAGTGATTGCAAAACTTCCGACTTCTGTGACAGATTAAACAGAGTTGGTATCCTATGATTTTTAAAATAATTTGGCTAAAAAAGTTCATCACCATTTGTAGAGCATAGTGTGTGGCATTTCTTGCAGTCTATGGGCACTGCCAGTGCTGCTGTAACTTCCTTCTGACCTTCCCCAGCACTTACACCCACCATCTTCCAAAGGCAGAGATGGCCCTGAAGCATGTAATGACTTTCCCACCACTGAGGGTCTTGCAGTATCAAGTTGTATCTGAAAGCAGGAATTCCTGGCTCTTCATGATTTTAGTGTTGTAGTATTCTGTGATGGCAGGACAACCAAGCTTAGCAGGGTTATTGTCAGACTAAGGAGCAGCAATATGAAGGATAAAGGGGAAAAATAATATGCAGATATTTCTGTTGTTTCATAAACCCTTGATTGATAGCTAAAAGAATGATAACTGGAGTCACCCAGAGGCATTAACAAAAAATCAGTATCACAAGGAGAAAAAGGGAGAAATGTGGAGAAAAGGGAAAGACAGATAGACAGCTAGACAGATGGATATAGACAGACGATTAGATAACATGAAAACAATATATCAAACTGCTCCCTGCATACTACAGCATTTTCAGCTGGGTGAAACTTTGGGGATTTTTACAAAAGCATTCTTACGAGACATAGCTCTTTCTCTCCATAACAGGCCACACACAGACTTCCTCTACAAACCCAAATTCTCATTTGGGATTCATCTTCTAGTGAGGTTGGTGCTGTAACAGTCTCAACATTATTAACACTGGTCCCTGACAGTATCTGTAGTATTTGACAGCATTACTGGCAATATTATCTGCAGTGCCGACAGTGGCAGAGTTAATATCCCCCAGTATTATTGGCATTAGCAGGGATCATATCTGCAGCCTGTTATTGGTGGGGGCAGATGTAATGTGTCCAGTATTATTAGTATCAGTAGTAATAAAACCCACAGGCTTGTTAGTGTGATCAGTAGTATCGGCAGTAGGTTTGTGGGAGAGGAGGGGACAGAGTGATTGCTACTGGAAATGGCAATAATACTCGGGCTGTTTGCAGTAAAGGAATCCCCTGCAGAGATGGGCAAGCAAATCTGAGAAGGCAGAAGTTCCTCCTTCCCTTTCTTCACCTGTCGTTTTTATGATTAGGGGGATTTACACTGATACGCAGCAATGCAGGGCTGTGCCAATGCAGGGGGACAGTAAAGGGTCGCCCAAATTTCTGCAGGTCTGGCGGTATTTTCTGAAGAGTGTTAGCTGTATTGGTGCAGGTGGTTCACTATACTCTTCTAAATGGGGTGGAGTTATGCCAAACAGGCTGCTGCCTACTATCAGCAGAAGCATTTCCACTGTTAGTCCTTTAGCTATAGGATAGGCAGCATCATTGCCCTTCTCTCTGGTGCTGCATGCATAGTTTTCTGACTGTTATTACCACATCACCCTCCACTGAGAAGCAGTGCTTTGGTTACAGGTGGTTTTATCTTCCCTTACTCCAAATGGGAGGACTCTGACTGCAGAGCAGGGTTTCAGCAGTGTTCAGCTTGGGGCTTTTCCTACCTGGCCGTGATCTCATTTTCCTATTCGGAAATTACAAATGTCTCCTTAAGGTGGAGTGTGGGGCAGGGATATCTGTGACAGTCCCAGTCCTGAAAGTTGGTTTTCAAGATACTACCCCAGGATACAGATTGTCTTGAAGAAAATTTTGAACTCAATTCTTTAAGTGGAAAGTAGTGCAGAGGGGAGAGGTGTGTAATGTGTCTGAGTTTTTGAGCAGATATGCAGCAGCTGAGTATGCCACTGCAAGTATGATCCCATTTGTGCTGTTCAGAGTGGCAACGATAATATAATCTGGGAGACGTAGTTATGACATTTCAGGTGACTTTGTGTCATTGTCAGTGGCATCAATG